AGAGGGACGTAGCGGAGTTCAGTTTCTCTTAAGAAGGAAACCACTCAGCTTACGATAAAAGGCGCAGCGTTGGTTTCAAACTTGGAAGACAAAAATAAATAAGAAATGCATACACAAATTTGTAACTATGTATTATAAAACTTTAATAACAACAATAAGTAAATTAAGTGAACTAAGAAAATATAGTAATATTAACCATTTATAAATTGTTTATATCGTTAATGTACTATATTTTCTTAGTTCACTTAATCTAGTATTCTTATTAGAATTTAATAATATGTATATAGTTGAAGCGCTATTTCACTACAAATTTATAGTTACTGATACGACTTTTTTCTCTGAGTGTAATAGTATAATATCGATGACTATAAATATACCTTACCTTTCACTATTATTTGAATGACATTTTATACTGTACTTTAATTTTAAAAGTTAAGTAAGTGTTCCATACTAGTATTATTAATACAAATAATACTTTGCTAAACTAATTGACACTGTTTTTGTCGTATACTGTGATTGTAATTATACATATTCTAAATTTAAATTAGTGAGACAACGTTCATCGAATCTCTAATTGACTATAACGCTTGAATCAATATTATATTAGGATGTTGTCTTAAAATAATTAAAATATAGAGTACAATTATAACCAATATGCAACAAAACAGTATCTATTATGCTTATAAAGTATTATCTGTATTAATAACATCACTTATACATATATTTAGCTTTTAAATATATAAAATATCTGTCGTTCCAATAATTATATTAAAATAACTTGTTTTTTCATGAATTTTATGAAATTTGATCAAATATACCGTTATTTACAATAAAAGATTAGTTTTTTACTTGATACTTTTCTCCGAAGTAAAAAATATCGTTTTTTTACATCTCTATCCAATCGTGTGCTAAATAACTATAAAAGTTAGAAATGTTAAAAAAAAATATGTAAAATTCGTTACTGATACTAAAAAAATGTAACTAAGTTACCGTTGCAGTTACTAAAAAGAAAAAGTAACGCAGTTACCAATAAAGTTATCCAAAAAATAATTTGTAACTGTAACTTCGTTACAAGTAACGTATTACTTCCATTCCCTGCCGGGTATATATATTTAAATTATTGTTAATCTCAAATGCTTCTTAAAATGTAATATTATAATTTAATTGAGAGGATGGGCAGAATAAAGGCCTAATTACAAAATCTTGATTTTAATAAAAATTAAAATAACTTGCTACTTTTTTATTATACACATGGGTGTATAATTTTATTATAAAATGGGTTCAAATGAATTTATGTAATGTCTTTAAGAAGTTACATGTTACAAATACTCTATTACGAATTATGCTCAATATTATATAAAAAAGCTAATCTCCGGAAAAAGGGCCTAACAATAAGTAGAATTGTGCCTTTATTCCGCACATCCCTTCAATTGTAATCTTTAAACACAACTAAATTACAATACTGTAATGAAAAAAAGCCAAATTTTGTGTAAGTGTCCAAACACAGATACATGTCCAGTCATTTGGACATTTTGGACATTTCTAAAATTCGAAATTGGAAAAATATTTTAATTAGGATAATGAATATGCGATTTCTACTTTACTTTCTTTTCACATTTTATAGGATTGAAACAGAAGTTCGTAGCATTATTTCATTTATATCATGTCTACGCGTTTTAAAAAAAGTTTTGGCAATAATACTATTCGATAGAGCAAAGTTTCAGCTTTAAAAACTTGTTTTTTGAATTGCGATACGATGATTTTTAACGGAGATATGAGCAATCAAAGTCAAAATGCTCCTTTTATTTAATCCATGATAATTCAGTAACAAAAAATTTTAGGATTATTTTTAAAAAACGATTTTGTAGCGAAAAATTTAAATTTTTATGTCATAGAAAGTTGAAAATTTTCATAAGTTTTTTTTAGGCAAGTGACAGACCCATAGAATTAGAAAAAAATTTCCCATTTTGTTCAGTTCATAGTTTTCTATATATAAAAATTACCCAACTCAAAGAAATTCAAAAGATATAGTGATCTTTTGAAAATAGAAATTTTAAACTTTAATATCTTTTTCTTAAATGTAAATTTTGTTCATATTTAACGAAATTACAGCTTCTTAAATTTTGAAGTTCGTAACGCTACGAACATTTGTTCCAATCCAATACTCTTTTAATTATAATGCATTTAAAACTATATCATGAGTTTTCAAAATTCAAACATTGCAACTCGAGTATAGTGTAAGTTTTATCCCTTATTAGAGTTTTGATCAATACTTTTCCATATAAGCAAATTAGCTGCAAAGTTTTTTTTACAAAAATACATTATTTCGAGTTCTTTTCATTATTAAAAAATTTTTAATTTTTTTATTTGTATCATTTTTCTATTAACGTAGCGATATTGTAACTTTAAATTTAAATCTTTAAAAACTATTTTATTGAACAATAATAATTTAAAACGATTTTTGTCTGCGCAATTAATTTACAAAAATTAATTCTTTCTTTCTGTCGCAGAAGATCGTTTCTTATATTGTGACTTGAATTGCGCTTTTCATGGAGAGAATTATTTGGATAAGGCTAATCAGCAAAATGCCATTAGCGACAAGAGATTTGTAAAAACCGCATACTGCGCGGATTAGCTGGTCGTTAGCGCGCCGCGATTTTTCCGCGAATTTGCAAAGGAAGTTGTGCAAGCGCGGCGAGGAAGGTCGACCGGCCATTGTTGAAGAGCGGCCGAGAGCTGAGCCATTCTTGACATTAAACGTGATTTGACGCGGGCGCGGGGTTTCTCAAAAGAAACGGAACGTGAGCGCCGATATAGCCACGACGCCATTGATAAAAGCGGCCCGCGTGTTAGAAAACAATGCCATACGGATAATGACGACCGCCCACGTGAGTGTTGCGGTAAATATGGACAGGACACGATGATGAAAACAAAGAAATATTCTCCACAAAAGCCTTTAGATACTTGGAAATTACAAGAACCCTGCCCAAACGTAGATTCGCCGTACTGGATCTTCCTTCATCACATAATTTATATGATAATAATTAATAATAATCACATATAAATGGTTAATAATAATTTATATGACTTCCCAAGGAATGTGAGCTTCAGTTTGGGTTTTCAATTCGTTTCATTTAACCCTAGAACGATATTAAATGTTACAATGTTGCTATTGATATATAAATTTTACATTCAAGGAAATAATTAATTCGCTCCTAATTAATGTAACACAATATTTTTATACATTTCACATTCTTAACCATTTATTATTCCGTGGGGTATCCAGAATACTCCCATCTTATAAATTTGCTAAACGTATGAATGCTGTTTATAAACGCATTATTATTATTATTATACATATTTAGTGTAAATTATTTCAATTTAAAATTATTTTTTTTTCTATTTGTCTTTATCTAAGGATATAGAATATTATCAATTTTTATTATATAAACATAAATCATCAAAGAGAGTAATAAAAATTAAGATATAATGTTAGCGTATCAGAAACATCCCATACGAGTAATTATGTTAAAAACAATATTAAGTGAAATTGACCAAGAAATGTTGATGAAAAATCAGGTATATCAATGTAAGGGTCTGAGCACAAGAATTGTCGTAACGATCGTAACGCTTACTTAGAGACTTACATCTACAACTCTCTAAGTAAGCATTACGACCGTTACGACAATTCTTGTGCTCAGATCCTAAGGCCGATGACAAAATATTTATAATTTAGATCTTTATAAACATAAATAATTTAATTATTAACTTAAAAAGAAAGAAAAAGTAGACTATCAAATTCAGTCTTGAAATAATTAATATGTATAGTCCAATGTCTCTTGAACACTGGTATACAATTGCATATTTTATTCTTTTCTATGCATCATCGCATCAGTCAGAGCACAGTTTCTTCTGATATCCACATATCGGTTTTTTTATACACGTGCAGTATGTGATGGTCATTCTGCTCTTTTTATAGTTGCAGTATTACCTCTTGCTGACCACTGAAGACAGCTGTCTTAGACCATTTGCATGTCAAATGTACGATAGCGTTCTAGGGTTAACGTTTTCTTGCGGTCGGTCTTGGGTTAATTTTCAGCACACCCGATATAGCCGGTCGCTAACGAAGGTAATATCCTCGAGGTTGTTTAAGGAAGTTGATTTCTGCAGAAGTGTGTTAATTGCCAGGTTAATTGACGGTTCAATAACGCTCGATTTCAGCCGGTCGCCATTAATTGCTCGAAATCTTTTAGCCTCTAAATAGTATAAATTCGCGTGAATGTTCGGCCTACTTAATAGGGATATCACTCGTAACAACAAGTTTACAAATCGAGGATTATTTTAGGCAGATAGGATGAAGGACTTAACAGGGAGAAAGCCCACAGGGCAGATCAATTCGAGGAAAAAGAATATATTTGGCTATATTTCTTTTTCTCGGAACACACACAATGAAACTAACGATCGATTGGCGACATATCGGGAATGCCAATTTTAAACGTGTTTGGCAAATTGATGCCCCGATCTCGCGAATAAAAACTCGATGGATTATTTCTATATGCATAAAGTACATTGCTCGCGTAACAGTTCTGCAAAATCTTTCAATCTTTCGATTTCACGGTGATTTCTCGTGCTTCACTTCTCTTCGCAAAATGAAAAACCGTGGACTCCATTCAGTTGAATTTAATCAATAATTTCACATGCGCCCGAAGGTCGTAACGGTTTATCAATTTGAAAATCAAACGCGAGATCACGTAGCAGTATAAATAAATCAAATTCATTCTAACGTTTTTCGTTTTCCCGCAGGAATACCATCGGCGATATCTACCTGAATGATCCTGTTTTTCTGTATCATGTCAGATTCATGAGGGTATCAATTCCCTGATAACATCTACAAAAATATCCATCGACTTGGCCAATCTGTAACACGTGTAAACCTATTGGGTATCACGAAGAGAGATGGAGAGAAGAAAAAAATAAAGTGGGAGAAAGAAGGTGCGAAAATGGGGAACGTCGGAATAACCGGCGTTGCATTGGGCGCGAAAATCTGCGAGGTTTACCAGCAACTAGTGGCGTCGAAACTTCGAATCTTCAAGCCCCTGAGAAGACTCTACAACCCTCCTGTAACCTATTCTTCCGCCTCTTCTTCATCGAACAGAGACGGAGATAAAGATATAGAAAGATAGAAAAAGAGAGAAAGGGAGAAAGGGGGGGGAAGAGAGAGAGAAAATCTCGTTCCCCCATTTTCCATGAGAGAATCCTCCCTCTCACGTCTCGTATTCGCCACCCTCTCTTTCTCTCTATCTCTCTCTCTCTATCTCTCTTTCTCCCCATCGCTCCCTCTTCCTCCCCCCTTCCCTATCTCGCACGCCGCGTTCCTCTCGCGCGCTCGCGCGTTCTTCGGCCTCTGGAGCGAGTCGCAGCATCCGTTGGACCGTTCCGGACTTCAGTCCACGTCGAGAACGCGCCACTGTCGGGACCTCTAGGAGTGACAGCCACCCGGAAGCTCGTGGCCGACGTCGCGTGCACGACATTATCGTCACTCTGTATCGAAATCCATCGGCAATTCATCGTTCCAATCACATCGTGATCTCTCCGACAAGGGATATCCGAAAATAAAGAGAAAAAAAGCGAGAGTCGTTCACAAAAGCCTCATCGTTACGCATCACGTGTATTAGTGTACTAAATTTTACGGATCACAATTGTCTGAGAGCGACGCGCGAGCACAAATTCTTCGGCGTGCCGGTTAATGTACCGTCAATACAAATAGTTGATCAACGCTGGTATCAGTCTCGCTTCGTTTGGTACCGCGCGAAGTGCATCATCCAGAGAAGTCGTGAAGTTTCCGCAAGATACAGAGGTTGGTGCAGGGATTGACCGGCCTAAAGTTCATCAGCGGGTGTTTCTGTTCTCGGAGTTCTCCATCCGATAACGAGACGTAACGAATCCCGCTGGATGCCCTAAGGGTTCGGAAAGTCGCCCCCGGATCAGCCGGTCACCGGTTCTGATGCCGACACGTGCTGAGCGCGATCGTTGAGGGTGCGGCGGTGCGCAGCGGAAGAGCAGAGCCACGAGGGCCCGCCGGAAGAGCTGAAGAAGAGGGATCTCGGGCCGGGCGACTGCCGAGAGTTGTTGCCCAGTCCCGGCGAGGGGGCGGACATCGGGCCCGGATGCTCGCGAAGACAAGACGCCGGAAGCGCTGCCACGTTGGAAGGGAAAATATTGACGGCCGTCAACAAGTTCCTTACAACGTCCCCTTTGGTTAACAAGGTCAAGTTGCTGATGGTGAGTCTTACTCTCTTGTCCCTATCTCTCTCCCTCTTTATGTCTCTCTCTCCCCCCCTCTTTCTCTCGTCGACACATACCGAGAATGTCCGCGCGGCCACTGACTCGGCCCCCGTCTAGTTTCCCGCTTTCTCGACGTAGGAGGACATATATGCTTCGACTTCGCTTTGAATGCAGTTAGTTCGCAGTTGTCGCACGGCACTCGTCGCGATTGTACCTTTCCGCCTCCGGGAAGTTTCAGGGTAACGATGTTCGCCGTTACTGTGAGGAAGGTACAAGATATCGACATGATTCCGATTTCTGATTGACGGGGAAAATTGGTTTTTGAAGTTTAGTTTCATCCGCGTCAGTTTCCTCCCCGCGCGAGAGAACCTGAGCTAAATTTCTAATATAATTAAGAAACAGAATACCCTGAATTTTTCATCGCGCTGGACGACGCTTGGATTACCCTTCGCGAGTTTTGTCTTTCGGGTGTGTTCATAAAAACCGAAATTGTCGCTTGCAATATAATACAATTAGTAATATACAGAGTGTCCCCTGATTTTCCGTAGGTTTTGACAGTATGTTCTATGAGCTGAAATAGAAAAATGTCATATAAGCATAGATCTTTATAAACGCTTTATTAAAGTTATCAGAAAAATACATATAAAACGTCCAAAAAAAAACCAATTTTATGTAAGTTTGCATTTAAATTGCCATCCGTTAATACAAACTTGATTAGATGTACTTTTGAATTTATTATTTTCTTTGCTATGGGCGGAGGAAATAACCTTTCCATGAAGATTTCCTCTATCCTCGGAAAAAAGATGATAAATTCAAAATTACATTGATGTCAAGCTTGTACTGACATGGGCAGACGGCAATTTGAAATACAAACTTAGATAAAAATGTTTTTTACATATTTTATATTTTTATTATAACTTTTTAATAATACTAAGAAAAGAAATATTGAATTTTAAGATATTAAAATGTTTTATTCTTAATTTCCGTTTTTTAAACACTTAAAGACATTTTAGTTTTAAACTTTTTCAATAAACAAAACAATATGTGTTGGATTTAAAACGTTTAAAAAATGGAAATATCTTTTATTATTAACGTTTGTTTTGCAAAAATGTTTCAAACATAAACATTTTAAACACTACACTTTTTACACAGTGAAAGCATTTAAAGATCTGTGTTTATATTTTTTTATTATTTCCATTCATAGAACATACTGTCAGAGTTTGTGTTTATTTGTATTAAAATTATGCATTTTTATATGTACCTATAAATATTATGTACAGGGTGTTAATTAAGTATGTTGCCATACTCAACAGAGCGATTCTTTGGTTTATTTCAAGTAAAAAGGTCCATATAAACAATGTCTTAAACGGCTTAGTTTCCGAAATAAAAAAATTTAAACATGTAGTAATAATCTGTTTGTTGAAAGAAATACAGCTTGAACTAGTCAAAAACAGGAAAAAAAAACAGAAACACACACACACACAGACTTCAGTTCTGATGAAATAAAACAATTAGATGAATTATTGAAAATGTCTACATTGAGCCATGATACATCCATCGAGCCTTCTTCTCAAAGATCTACGTACACGCTCAAAGATCAGAACTGAGGTCTATTTTTGATTTTGTGATTTTGACTTTGACTTTGCCACTTTATTTACGGTTGTGCGAATGGTAACTCACGCGAAGTAAGGCATATTTATGCAGGAAGATATCTCAAATGCAATTTACCGTTTCGTCAAATACTTGCGAACATTCACCTGTATTTCAGAAACAAAGCCGTTTAGGACACATGTTTATATGGACTTTTTTACTTGAAATAAACCAAAGAATCGCTCTGTTGAGTATGGCAACATACTTAACTAACACCCTGTATATACATTATACATATATATATTAATTTTTTGTTACGATTGACAGTAACAATTGACGAATGCTAAACATCTAGTCACATACATACATTCTATTAATCTTATTTATCCGACACGTGAGCAATAAAGGTTAGCACGTGACCAATCAGAATTCCTCACTTAGTTAACATCATACATAATTTACGTTTATTCATTGACATTCTACTTCGGGAGCTTAACTATCCCTGCTTCTCATCGTCGTGGAGAGCTTGACGGGTCATGAAGCATAATTATCGATCCACTTTGCACCACTGATCGTGTCGATGTGTTATCGTCACTCGATGTTTATCACCCAATACCTATATTTATTTTATAACGATGGGATTTGTTTAATTTTAGAAACTCTTGCCGCGGAAACGAAAACTCCTTGAATCCAGACAGAAGTGCCGCGAGTATTGTAATTTGTCGTGACATAAATTCGATGAAATTTGTGAACGGAATAATTATGTAGAAATTGCTTAATATGCTTCTAGCGTTTCATTAATTTCTGAACGTTGGTTATCTCAATTAGAAATTTAATATATTTAACCAGAAATCTGGTAGATTTAATCAAAATTCTAAATCGTTCATTTTTCATCAGAATATATATGATCAGAATTCTAGTTAATTCATCCAAACATTTTTCTTCGTGAACGATTGCGCATACGATAATTAAGAAATGACATAATAGGGAGTTTTTTGCAATACCGTTTATCCAGATACGGTGAACACTAAGGTCAGGTTATCTTCTTCTTAACAACTAATTAAGAAAAGGATAACGTGACTTTCACTATATCTGGACGATATCACGTTATTGCAAAGACTTCCTAATATATCATGGCGCAGTGGGGATAACTTACAAAATAATTGTATCAATTGCGCGTAAAACTTTTCAATTACGACCAACTTTTGTGAATTAACTTGCATTTCGGTAGGACACTATTTGCAATGGTGTCCGAGCAAACAATAATTGCAAGGATAACTCCTGGAAAAAAAGGATTACGATCCCGAGCGGCTATACGGGGTGTATTTTCGGAAATTAGAGATACACATCTGTACATTACAATTGTATCCTCCCCTATTTGTGTTATATTTTCTGTCTTCGTAAGAGATTTTCTTTCCAAATTTTCTACGTTTCTTGTGCAATACTCTGAAAGCGTTTTACATAAATCCGAAGGAATTTCCTAGTTTAATTTGGGATCAACCATCGAATTACTTAGCATCAGAAAAGACACTTAACTTTTATGTTAATATGTACCATTCCACTTTTCGTTAATAATTTACTTACCAAATTCCGAGGAACTTCGGACGCACACCTGTGTCCATACTTCGTTAGATGCTTTCAAAGGATAAAATTGTTTCCCGCCACGAGTGAAGCTATCCGTAAAAATGTCTTAATTGGCAGAATTGTCCTTTGTACAATGGAAGACAAAATATTTATTTAGCTATGTACATATAGAACGTCAGAATATTATTCGCTTTTCTCGATTTTAAATATATACGAATTTTTGATTCTACGCTCAAAGTCAAAATTAAAAACGTTGCATGAATGTTACGGGAGATTTCCACTCCATTTTTTATTTACGACGTGTGCGGACGTCACGCTGAAATAATGTGCAATTTACTACGTTCCTGCGTATTCGTTTACACGCAATTATGCCGCCGACGATCAGTGATGCGTGATACGCGTGCTTGCGTGTGTCTCCCACCATGCCATTGTAATCCAAAATGAAAGCCCGGGTTACATGAGCCAGATGCCCATTTTTTTTTTTTTTTCGATAAATCAATTATCCATTCATAATAGCCTATTGATTGAGCCAGATATAACTAAGTAATGAACGTGGATGGAAAAGAGGATAAAATTGGTGGTACAGATTGCGATGCCATGTACAAAGATAAAAAGAAAATCTTTATGTGTCATACAAAACACGCTTATTTCTCACCTTCGATTGTTGTTGATACACAATCAAAATATTGGAGTGTATCCATGAAATCGCAAAACGCGAACAGGAATATGAATATACGCAAAGAATGGTTTTACTGAAGTATAATACATAAAAAATTATGATTATATAGATATGGATTTGAAAATAATTGTGTTGGACTATCAAATTAATTATGTAAGACGCTTAATACGATTGCTTGAATGTCAAAACTTTCAGCATTGCTCATCATGCTTAAGTTTCTTTATATAATTAATTATTGATAGTTCATGAGCGAATTCAAAGGAGGATTTAGGATGTTCAACCTCTTCTCCTTAAATTTTGGTAATACAATAGCAGAACATGCTCGTTTCTCTCCCTCATTATTGACTATATATACAACTAAAATACTGGGATGTATCCATGGAATCGCAAAACACGAAGAGGGATAAACATACAAAAAAGGTTTTGCTGAAGTATCTAAAAATTTAACTGGATAACAGATTTGGAAATAATTTTATTGATTTATCAAAATAATTATGTAGGACGTTCAATCTGGTTGCTTGAGTATTTATTAAAATCTTTTTGTAGCATTACTCATCATGCTTGAGTTTTCTACATAATTATTTTAATGATCTCTGAAAGTATCTTCAGGAAAGGATTTAGAATATTCAATCATCTAAATTTTGTAACATAATGGCAGAACGCGTTTTTCACCCTCGTTATTAATACAATTAAAATATTAAGGTGTTTTTGATTCATGAAAAATTCATGAAATCTCAAAACGCGAAGAGAGATAGCTATATGAAAAGAAATTTTGCTGAAGTATCTAAAAATTTGTAATTAGATCTAAAAATAATTTTGTTGGATTATAAATAATTATGTAAGACGTTCAATTTGCAGGTTACTTAAATGTTTACTAAAAACTTTTTGCAACATTGCTCATTATATTTGAGTCTTTTATTATATATAATTGTTTTGATGATCCATGAGCGTATATACCAGGGGAAGGTTTAGGGGATGTTCAATCCTCTTCCCCTGAAAATTTGGTAACACATTGGTAGAAGGTTATTCGAATGACATAGCTTTTATGTCATTCACAACTATATTACTGTGAATCCTGAAGATGAATTAATTCATTTTGGAAAAAAGATCGTTGCATAATTTAATTTTGTAAATTTTATTGAATAATCTTCTTTGCCTTATTCATTATTCCTGTTTTTCTTTTTATTTAACTTTAGTTTAATATATTACATTTTTATAATATCTAACAATGTTTTTTTCATATAGGTCTTTTTACGTTCTTTTCTGAACTTTTCTTTAAATTTCTTTTCCTAAAAAAATGATCATGAATATTTTGTATACGTATAATAATAATAATAATAACAATAGCAACATTAAAGAACTACACATTTCGTTTTTAATAACTGTGTGTGGCTATATTTTTTTTAGCAAAAAAAAGTTATGTTAAAGTTATATAATTTACAAATTTAATATTTTTTCTATTTGAAATAAAATATAAGAAGACAATAGAATTGAATTAACCTATTTCCCAGTCCTACATCCGTGTGACGGTTCAAAATTATCTTCAAATCTATATCTACCTACATAGAGAAAATAAATTACTTGGGCTCGAAATTCCTATTTACGTTTATTTCAT